ATATATATTCTTTTTAGTCTAATTAGTTCTGCGGATCAATAGCCAAAATCAATGCTAATCGTTTTGTAATCCTTGTGAAGGACTTGGTCTAGATTACCAATCTTTTGTAAAAAGCGAAGCACGCGGTTATCGTGCACCATGCCTTTAGGTTCGAAAGGCAGCGATTAGACTCAGTTGCCTGTGGGAACAACCTCTGATGGTGTAGCTGTGAAGATTTCTACAGCCACAAGAGAAGCAGTCATGAAAACGGAGCGCTCAATTTTCTGTGAAACAATCATTAGCAAGGAGAATGCTTGTACAGCTGAGTTTCGGAGGCATGATCAAGCCATAATCCAAAGTTTTTTAAACCCAGTGAAATCTTCAGAAGGAGAAGTATACAGTAACTGGTGATGGCACAAAGAAAAATCGATTATAGCAAGAATTATTGGAGTCAAAATTTCGTAAGGGATTATTGGCAGCTTACCAGATCGACGACGTCCTTGATGGTCAGGCAGGCAAGAAATGCGACGATGAAGAAGAAAGCCCATTTTCGGGCCCTCTCGCCAAACATGGCCTCCCGGCATGAGTTGATCTTGCTTCTTTTCTCAGGCGGAGGACTGCCATAGTCAGTCACACGATTCATCCCAAAGCTGAAAATTCAGCTTTCGGTGATTATTTCGAGTACATGGCGAAGATATTCGATTTATTTGTACACATATGGAAGAACATATGTATGAAAGATGAAATATGAGAAGAGAATGGAAACAGAATGTCCATGAGGAGGTGGTCCAGTGATGAATTTCGTTACAGTATGAATTGTTGTCAACGGTTCCAGCAAGCAGGTTCAAGTTGTTTCGGACGGGGGAGCATTAACCCTGGTTTCGCAGAAGACGGGGGAGCATTACCCTGGTTTCGCAGAAGTGCCGATTCATTAGCTTTATATGGGAATCTCCTATGTGCCACTCAAAGGCGATCCTCGCAAATGGTTCGATTCTAGTGTCCTTCGTCAAAATTTGACTTTAGTGTCCACCTTCGGGTTATAAGCGCTCGAAGGGTTCTTGGCAGTTTATCTGAACCTGATGGCTTTCTGGTACCTGTAAACGGTGGTAACTGACACTCGAAAACGTTAACAGCAAGTAATTTGAAACTCGAAGATTCAATAATTAACAATAGACTGATCTCGAAAAGGAGGAGCAGGACCTAGAAAAGGTCTTGGGCTCGGATGAACTGCCAAAGGAACCTCTCAAGGGCAAGGGAAAGAGCTGCGGCTGGAAGTGTTACCGACTTCTTAGTTGTGGTTGTATGGAATGTTTCTCGTCGGTGATGGTTTAGTTAGGAGCGTCGCGCGATGTGGGTGGGGTGGGCCTTGTAAGGCAATCTGCGCTGAACGTTTTTGTTCTCGAGTGGTCTGAGGGTGGTGGCGACGAAGTGCCGCGCGACTGACTGTTTTCTACGGTATTGAATCAGTCAGTAATCAGCGCCGTACAATGCGCGCATAGGCAAAGAGAGACCAGTCGTTGCGGGACAGCACTTTACTGTGTGTGGGTATGTTTTCAACAATGAGCGTAATTCGGCTTAATTTGGCGGAAGGAAGATTTGGAACAATGGGTCACCTGGGTCTGCCACAGGAGGGGAAGTGTACAAAATGTCAAAGTAGTCAGTTTCTGGTAATTAAATTGATCAAAGTGAAGAAAACAGGTAGGGTTACCGAAACTTACCTAACACGGCGTGAAGGCATACCGAAAAGGTACCTAGGGACGGCGCACGGTCAATAGAAGAATAAGTGCATACAATCCAGCCTTGACTGACTGTCAAGAAGACCCTCCCTTCTCGACGGCGACTTTTTACGTAACCGGTAAACCCAGCGACGAAGTGCAATTGGAACACAGCGTGCGTCGGTGTGATTTACTGTTCGGCGTTGATTGTTTCGGTGCTGTTTTGAGTAAATGGCACTCTTAAATGATATTGATTTGGTGTTATCTATCATAGCGCTTTCTACAGATCTTTTGTCCTCCTGCTTCTGTTTGTACCCCTCGTTAGGTGTCTTACGGTAAAGGTAGGAGCAGGATGCTTTGGGAGGCAGTAGCATCATATTCTTCATATCGATCCATATTGTTGGTGCTATCACAAGATACTGGGGCAATGTAATGACAATGCATTAAATATCACGTAAAACACCACCTCTCTGTTAGCCTGAGGAGGAAATTCAGCAATTTTCATTTCCCCGAAGATCCTGCCCCCTCATAGACTCAGTCCTAGGGGA